CCGGGCCGACCAGAACTGGGCTCTGCGTGATAAGCGGAGACCTTCTTGATATATCCCCTGCTGCCCCTCCTCCTCCCGTGGCGACGACGAGTCTTGCGACAAGTTACTCGGCGCCGGCNCTTGCTTGCGCGCGGGCGTGGTCGACGGGGAGCAACAAGGAGACGCCGGTAGCCCAGATGGACATGGCCACGAAGACGGCGAAAGCTGTCGCAAAACCGTACGCGAGCGCGGACGCTATGGCAGCAGCGAGGTAAACCGCGCCAAACACGCCCGACTTCTTGGTCCAACGACAGACAGGTGGCTCCGGCGGCGGATTGATCTCGGCGAGGACCTGGTGGAGGGCTGCCAAGTGTCTCCGAAAAATCTGTCGACTCACGCCACCGGTTGTCCCGGCGCGATAACGCCTGCTGCGCACAAGTCTGCACCGGAGGGACTCGTCCGGCACGAGAATCGTGAAGTTCGTGTAGCTGTCCGTCGTGCCCATCACGGAAGCAGGACTGTCCACCCCCCATCCACCGCCTTCCGCTGTCGTCTCCACACCAACCTTTCAATTCAATTTGCGCGTGACGAGGGAATACGCTCAAAAAGAGTTGAAACATATTCTTGGAAGATATGTGGACGTAGAGACACGGAGAGAGATGTGCATGTACAAGGCTATGTATTCAACATTTTTTCGTACCATGCACGTCCGAACGACGTATCCGATGCAGCTGGAGACTAGGCTGCCCACACCCCATTCACCGCCATCCGGTGTCACCTCCACGCCAACCTATCAAGTCAGTGTGCGTGAGACGAGGGTGAGAACGCGAGGGAAAGCAATGGGAGAGGCACGCACAAAGAGCAAGAGAACGAGATGTGCAGGAACAAGGTTGGACATTCAAGACCTGTCCGTACCATGCATGTCCGAACGACGTCTCCGATGTAGCGGGAGAAGACCACGAAGAGTTGAAGAAACCCCAGGATCGCACATGCAAACACGAGCGCTGGTAGCAAAGAAGAGGCAGTTTCTCCAGTCCCGCCCGCGGCATAGCTGATGGCACCGTCAAGCGGGACGGCGACACATTCCTCTTCTACGCCAAGCGTGCTGGTTCGGGGCTCCCACTCCTCGACGGCGACATCTACGTCCTCGGTCACCTATTGACGAGTTGTTTGATAAAAACGACGACAATGTGAGGGAAAATACCCGGGCTTCCTATCAACAACAATACAAACTTGTACACGAATTCACAACGCTGTCTTGCTTGCATTTCGAGGAGACAGGACGCACCGCAAGCAGTTCCTCGAGTGAGACGAGAGCCTCGAAGTGCGCGTGTCCGTCGAAGAAAATGAGGTGCTTCGCCTCCGCAATCGGGGTCGACGACCCATCCACCGGCTCCAGGAGTCCATCGCTGTTCAACCGAACGATCACAAGACCATCCAGGTCCAGGGCCCCGCCCCCGCCCATCACTGCCCTGCCGTCGAAGTAGCCGTGCGCACAACTCATGATTGCGTCCCACATCGGCTTCGTAAGAATCAGGGCCGACGCGGCGTGCACCAGGTCGTCGAACGAAAGGAGCTCATCGTTGATGTCGGAGCTGTGCTCATCGAAGAGGTCATGGCCGTGTGAGTTGCTGACGGTGGCGTCGCGAATGCACTGCAGGGTATCCCTGACATCATCCGCGAGCTCGCCATTGGTGGCTTCGATGATGGCAGGAATCGGTACTCCGTTTTGGACCATCGATCGTTGGAGCAAGGAGATGGGGCCGCAGCTGTTGCTAGAGCCACTGTTGGACATGGCCACAAACATCTTGCCATTCAGAGTGTAATAGACACGTTGCACTCTCCTCGCCGCCGCCGCCGCCGCCGCTGCTGCTGCCGCTGCTGCTGCTGCTGTTGCTGCTGCTGTTGCTGCTGCCCCCGCCGGTGTCTGCGCCCGCGCTCGTGTACGGGAACGCCTCTTGGCTTTCGCCCTCTCTTTCCTCTGCCTGTGCTTCGTTTTCGCTGCCATGCTTCACCTGACAAGGAAGGCACGTGGGGGAGGGGACATTGCGATTTAATGTAGGGTCAGATGACGGCGACAGCGCTATCCGTCAGACATAGAAAGAAAGAGCTACTAAGTGCCGTGGCGTAGCGCGCGCCAAAAGATTCGGGTGGGGTCGCCGTGGGTGCAAGATTCGGACCGGGGTCCCATGGATGTAAATTTCACGGTGGGGGTAGGTGGAGTACAAGTGTGGGTGGGGGTGTCCTATGTAATACGGAGTACTCCTATATGGTTGTGCGTGGGAACGGAGAAAACACACAACAACCTCTTGCACAAAATAAGTCGCGCGACATTGAGATAAGTCGCGCGACTTTGAGATAAGTCGCGCGACTTAAAAATGACGTATTGGCCCGAAAACGCTACCCAGAGGTCAAATTTTTTAAGTCTTTATGCAGTAGATGTTGGCAAGGGGTTCTACTTGAGTTTAGTGTAGGAATCGGGCATTTTCATTTATCTTGTAGGTAATGCCGGGACTGTGAGAGGGAATCGTGCAAATCGATTTATACCACACGATGAATCTGGAAACACGAAAGATGCTCCAAAGGCGACGCCGCCGCAGTCCGAGGCGGCGATACCTTCGCAGGCGATGCCGCCACAGTCCGAGGCCGCGTGGATGTTGGATCGTGCGAACACCAACAACGTGGACAACCCGTTCTTGACCACACGATGAATCTGGAATCACGAAAGAGAGTTCATAGGCGACGCCGCCGCAGTCCGAGGCGGTGATACCTTCGCAGGCGATGTTGCCACAGTACGAGGCCGCGTGCATGTCGGATCATGCGAACAACAACAACGTGGACAACCCGTGATTTACCATGTGGGAGGAGGAGAAAGGAGAAGAACGGCGGTGCGAACAACTCACAGCAGGGACGAAGTCCTTGCGGTTCTTCTCACTACTGAGCTAGCTATCTCTGCGAGGGATTGATTTTTGAGCAAGCAAACATCAGTGATGATATATATGCCCAAGCGAGCGAAGTGGATGTACATGTTCTTCGCAACGGGTGCTGTGTTCGGTCCGAGATTAAGTTTGGGCTGACGGTGTTGTATGTACGCGAGAGCACTGACCGAGAGCAACTTTGTAAATACCAACACCTCAAGCGACACGTTCACGGCCCGGAAGCGACACGCACCCCGAACCTCATCTGTCGTGCTTCACGACAAACGATCTATCGCTGAGAGGACCACCGAGCAGCAGCGGATGTTGTAAAGGAGATCGCGCGCAGCCCAGACGCGTAAAAAAAAATAGTACAAGTGATGAGTACGTGCAGTCGCGCGCGGCATGCTTCAAAACTCAGTGTGCGCTTGAAAAATTGTGTGTTACGCCTGCTCGACACGCCAAGACTTGATTCCACGAGCAGCTGGCCACCACGTCGGCGCTCTGGGAAACTAGGGATCTTCTGCTGGTGCTGGGTCGGCCAGTCCATTGACTTGGTGATGAGAGACAGCGAGCAGTCGTTACCTCCGGTTGAAGCGTGAAGGGCGCTGGGCGGAAATACCATTCGTGACAATTCGAGGAGACCATTGGCTTTGGATTTCAAAATTGCTTCACGCGGCGACATCGAGTCGTCAGACGTGATCTGTCGATCATCCGAGGCAGGTCCTGTGCGTGACCTGCCAAAACCCATCAAACGAGTTTAGGGATAGTCACAATGTGTATGTACTTCAGAGGGCAAGGCCCCCAGGTGACTCCAGGAAATTGCAACATCAATTCTCCTGGCGTAAACAATTTTGCTCGGGATGGCATATTTCATACAGACAGTGTAGAGCCCTCCCGCTTGGGCCCAAGTTGACACAATAAATATTGCCGGGCCACGAAGCGTACATGCCTGACGAATTCTTGAACAAAAACAACAAGTTGCGGACTCGAAAAAATGTGGCAAACATTTTCAGGATGGCGTGTAGATTTGATCACTTCTCCAACTATCTCCCTCTCATCATGAAGTCAGCTAAATCCGGTGCGTCGTCTTCAACCAAGAAAATCTCGAAGAAAGATCATGCTCTCCTACAAAAACTGAACAAGAAGTCACCACCGTGCGGATATAGTCGTCCCCGTGCTGAACTTGGAAACGTCCAAAAGTATTTTGGCGGAGAGAATGCTGCCGCTTTCTTCGACAGCTTCAAGTACGTCCAAGCCAAGGAAACGGACTCAGATGGCACAGCCACGACCGGTCCTTAATTAGATGGCGCACTAAAAAAAGTCGAGGGAGCACGCCAACATCCATCCGTTGGCCCGCACACATGTTCGAAACACAGCGCCGGCGGTCGATCATGAGCATGCGCTCCCGACCACACTTCGTGAGCGGTGTACATCTAGCGATCGCGTTCAGTCCCTGCTGGGGCATCGTGTGGGCGGGAACACAAGGCTTCAAGGACGGAGCTGGATCCGCGATAGGCTGCCCAGTATCCATAGGCGCATGGACGAACATAGCTGTAACTGTTTTTGTTGATGCCGAGAGCGAAGTAGGTGACATAGAGGTATGCTGGAGCTACTGCTAGTGTGGTGATCGCTATAGAACATCGCTTGCGGTCAAGCTTCTCCTTTAGATCAGTCTGCGTTCTTCAAAAGTACGAAGCTCTTACTGTGCAGCTGGAACAAGGTGCATGAACTCAGGGAGGCTTGCAATGAATACAACTGTTAATCTACTATTTCTGAGCGCTCTCCCTATCTGCTTTTGTGTGCCGATTCCCAACGTCAACAGCAGCAGCGGGTTTGTCCTGCACCGACCCCAGTTGCTGTACTATACACACGGCTGAAGAGCACATGTGCTTCAACACCAGAAAACAAAAAGCAACCCTGTGGGCTGCTGTTTTTTCGTGGGAATTCCAACGAGCCGGGTGACCTAGCCAAAGAAGGTGCAGATCTTTCAAGAAGGCGTAGATGGGGACTGTCCACAACAGCGCGGATCAAAGCACAAGATCGACGAGCAGTTACACGTGACGATTCCTTTCAACCGCCAGAAACCGAGCGCAGACAAGGAACCGGAACTTTAATACCTCACCAATAATCGCCGCCTTTCCTTTCTGATGACACGCCCCCAAGACCCCAACCCCAATGCTCCGGGTACCACTCCCCCGCTATCGTGTTCTCCTTGTCTCCTCCGGTAGCGCATTGCCGGGGCGATTTCTCTTCCGATCATCAGCGGCTCTATCGGTGGCTCCGTAAGCTGGTCGACCGGACAGACAGATATAGAGCATTAGTTTGAAGACTTTATGGGAACAAGCCTTCTAGGGAGGACGTGCTGACAATATCTTGTTTCCCTCACGATGGGAAAACGATTGTTCGAGTACGGTGCCAAAAACGTTTATTGGAAACATATTGCATTTTCGTAAGGGACGCCGCCTCCGATTTAGAGTTTGAAGAAAAGTGACGTATAGAGAAGAGAGCTACAGAAACGCAACGCGACGGCAACACGTAGGAGATCTCGTGTGTGTGCAATTTACCACCTTTGCTGCATCGCCATCCATACCACCGCAGACCAAAGGGAACGCTCACACACAACATGCGTCACGTGGTACTGATCAACTCAATTCTCATGCAGCTCACTGTCATGTTGGTTATCGACCGACCCCACGCTCCATCCCTCCCTCCCACCCTCTCAGCAGTCGCTTTCAACGCTTCGATTGCTCTCACTCTCTGTGTATGTGCACCGAGGAGGTAATGACAGACGCCACGAAAACACACAAAAACACAACCCCCCCCAACAATTTTCAAACTTGACACAGATCTCCAATCAGCGTGCCCCACCTACCTGCTATCATCTATCGACCAATCAGAATGCACCTCCTATCAGGCTACCCGGGAGCGGAGTTCGTGATCTGTTTCCAATGCTAGAACCCGGCATGAAACACAGAGCTGGCCAATCAGCCTGCCCCGCCCATCAAGCTACCATCAACTGCCCAATCATCATCCACCGCGTACCAAGCTATCAGCCACCGGCCACAACCAGAGTGCGGCGTCTATCGGTGTGCAGTGCCACACCCGAGAAGCAAGTGACTTATCCACCACTGCAGCAGCACTTCGACGTGCGCACACGACTCTTGAATCACTTCGCCAGCGGCAGCCTCCTCTTTCGCTTTCTGGCGGTGTAGTGTGGGCGGTTGCTATGTATCTACTATGTTTGGATTATGATGGATGAGGCAAACTTTTCGGGTGCTCTCGTTCGTGCTCTCTCCAATATATGGCTGAGAACATCAACACAAAACACTCCACGTCTGTGTGTATATAATCTCCGGTGCTGTGCGACAGCCTGAGGTAGAATATTCTACTCGGCATTTGGGTATGTATGTATAATGCTTCAACATAGGGCTTTCGTTTGGTTTGAAATCGAGTTGCGACGACTCCGGTCCGTGTGCAAAATTGGATTGAATAATCTGGTTTCCCATTTTTACACCCCTCTGTGCGGTAACCCCACATGTGCTATTTTGAACAAACCAAACCACTGACGATACTGGAGTTGTGAACGTACGGGTAGCTTCAATCTGCGTTTGGTTGAATGCGATCGCCGTTGAACACTTCAATAAACAATTCAATCGTACGTGTGCACCTGCAACACAAACAGCGAGTGGAGCCCCGATGACAAACCGTGACACAGACGAACGGAGATTTGCACCACACAGGCCGGGGTCATGGCCTGCGCGATGACTCCGATACGTGCGATGACTTACATTCATGTGTCGTTTATCCACAGTTCGATGCTTCTTCGGTATTGGATGGCTCCACCGAGGCAGATGATGCAGGTTCATCACGTATATTATTTCCAGAAATTCTACCAGGCCGCCTTATCTTGCCGATCCCTGTAATAAGCTCTCCTTGGATGGTTTCCAAATACTGGACGTTGGGGCGAACGCGGAGGAGCTGAAGGAGGGGTGGGGCTGGGGATAGGGGTGGGTAGAGGGAATGCGGAAGTATAGATGACCCCCATACAGCTGACCACCTCAGCATGCGATTGGTTGGAAGACACGGCCGTCTTGGTCTGTATTGTACAAAAACGGGGCGTGTTCGCTCCGAAACAAGCTTATGTAGTACACCGAAGTGGTCCGTGGGTTCAATCGATGCACGGAGCTTTGTACTGACAATACGATACATGATGAGGTGTAAATTATCCAGAAGTACAAGACCTGGAGCGTTTGAAACAAATGTTCACCCAACGCTTTGTGGATGGGAGCGCTTCAAACACAAAACTCCACTCAACATGAGCACGGTTCCGTCGAACGCGCGGTAAATTCGCTTTCGAGGGGATCGCCTGACATCGACCCATGCAGTGACTACGACGGCTGGACTCCTCTCACGATAGCCACGAGGAGGGGTACTTGTGCATCGTAGGAGTCCACTGCGATACAGTGCCAACGTGTTGGCGAGCACCGATGACGGACACACCGCGCTTCACGTTTCGGTTCACCAAGGACAACCTGGCCGTCACGAAGGCGCTCGTCAAGGCCGGCGCCGACCTCGAGGCCAAGGCCGCCTGCTTCACACTGGGTCCAGACTTGACAGAAGGAAATACACCGCTCCACCTGGCCGCGGGGGGAGCGTTCGGCGAAATTACCACGGCTTTGGTCGGCGCCGGTGCAAACGTTAACTGTCGCTTGAAAAACGGGGCGACACCGCTATACCTTTCAGCATGTTGTGGGAGGCTGGGAGCCGTCAGGATTCTCATTCGCGGGAAAGCTAATCCTTCCTTGCCCATGGACATGAACCTTCCGCTGCTACGCCAGCTTGTACAGTAGTTCGGGGTCGACGGCTGTTGTGACGAAGAAGGCGGAATAGAGGCTCTCCGTACGGCGGCGTTCATGGATCATGTGCAGGTTTGGGCCTTACTATGCGACTCGGGTGCCGTGGACACGGACGGCACTGCTTGTTGCGCTGCGGTCGAGGGCCGCGCCACCGAGTGCGTCAAGCTCTTGGTGCGGCGACGGGGAGGGTATGTCGGCATTGATGCTTGCGCCTACGTCAATATCGCCAAGGGGCAAGACAGCCTCATTCATCTGCAAATTCGACGTGGGCACTGTTGTACTCCCAGGGTGGAGGTTTCTGCTCGACCAAGGAGCCGCATTGAAATTTGACGAGGCGGGGGCGACTAGCGATACGCCCGTGGTGGCGGCCACCTTAGCTCTCCAGCAGGCCGAGACTATTTTCTACATGGACATGGATGCAGTGGATGGGTTGAAGGGTGCGTGGAGGGTTCGCGCTGTGTCGTGGTGTTTGCCTTCACGTCACCGACCGTCCTACGGAAAACAAAATAATAAATCAGCGTCGATGGGAACAAGAGGGCCAAGCGGCCAAATGTGCTCTTGTGGGGGCACTGGCTAGGTACACTAGCAAGCGACGGCGCGTTCCTCGGGCATGAGAAAAAAGTTGTTGGGGAGTGACTTACATGCCGCGTTTGCCGACGTAAAGACAAATCACGGAGTTGTGGAAGGAGGGGCGCATCCTCCCGGACATCAAGAGCAGTGGCTACTGGGAGTGTTCCCCAGCCTTCAACGCTGGCGATAGCCCCTTTCGATTCAAGACCAAGAGCGCCACACGCGAGCTACCCGCAAGCACACAGGCGTCACGGACACCGTTCGCGGAACACCTCCGGCCCGGCGCGCTCGGGGACGCCCCGTCAGCTTCCCCGAGCAGCACGACGCCATCAACAATACTGGTCATCCCACCCGACGCTCGACGCTCGGCGAGAGGAAGGCGCTGTGGAAAAAGGTTGCGGTAGATCTGAAGAAGTTGGTGAAAGGAGAAAAGGCGTACTTTAGCACGCACGGCAGCGGCTTGCACTGGGTGCACGTACGACTGTTGATGTGTGTTGCGCGCTCGATAGTCGACTTTTATTTTGTTGTGTATGATTAAAGCACCATGACGTCTAAGGTGATTCGGAAAGATTGTCGTAAGGACAACCTCATTGAGGCCAAATGTGACATTCGAAGTAAACCGGATGGTGTTCCAATTGAACCATTTTTCAACAACGAAGGGTTTTTTGTGTGCGGGCTTACAACAGACGAAGGGCACTCAGAGTGCTCACTCCTCCACCCGAAACTCCAAAAGTTTTCCAGGACTCGGGATAAAATGCCCATGACTTCTTCTTTCTCCCAGTTCGATGCCAGGCGCGCTATGTTTTTGACGCTGGCACACTCTGAAAATAAGGAAGACGAGATATATACACCCGATCTTCAGAAGATGGCGAGCGCCTTGGGAACAAAGGCTTGTGAGACGGAGTTCATCGTGGTAGGGTACGAGCACGAAAACATCAAAATGGCAATCAAGATGAAGTCACAGGTCCCTGTCAACAGAATCGTCAAGAAAATTTTCGCATTTTCCAACAACTATTCCGGAGAGATAACGTTCGACGGCGAGGACAAACGTACATACTTGGAAAAGGCTGCGAGCATCGTCGCCCCTCTGGAACCCAGAGATGTGGACCCGAAGCCCCTAATTTTCGGGGACAAAACCTTAAAAGATCTGCTGCGCAAGATCGACAACGCAAGGAGGGGACAGGGGGCCTCCAGGAACGTCCCGGTGAAGTGGTTCTCCGATGACATGGATGACGAGGCATGTCATAAGAGGGAACGTGAATTTGTCGACGACCTTGTTGGAGCAGATGGGTCATGGGCAGCAGTGATGAGATCTCCGAAGAACCAGAAAATGGGACGGGAAAACCTTGGATTGTTGAGGTACTTGACTTCTTTTCTCGCGAAGCAGCGTCAGATGTTTTCAGCGAAGAAGCCATCGAGGATGTCTCGAACGGGGAGAACGAGGACGTCGAACACCACGGCACCATGGAATGCACGGAGGACAAGTACGACCAGATGGTTGAAGCCCATTATCACGCGAAAAGGAGAAACCAAAAAAGAAAGGAAAAGGTGTTCATGGATTCTATGAGGAGCAAGGCCTTGGCGACCGGCAGGTTTAATTTGTATAAGAAGAGCGATGAAGAAGTTCTAGAGTTTATGCGAGGAGAAGAACGTGCTCGTGCAGGAGGAGTAAAGCGTCTTATTGTTGGAGGAGTTAAGGAAGCCGTGAAGCCGTCCGCGCGGAGGAAGTCCATATGGGCTTCTCGGCGCCTTTGAAGATTCTGCGGTTGTTCCCTTGGGGAGATGAAAATAAATCGCGTCTGTATATCGCCACCCATCCAGAGAACCGCTTTCACAGAGTTGTTGTCTTGACAGAATCGAATCGATGTAATTTTCATCACAAGTTGAATCATCATTGTCTAGATATAGATATTGTAACCACCCAGAGAAAAGCCTTGACGGAGTCGATGTCTTGACAGAATCGATGTCACGCGGAATGCATGGAAAAAATACAGATACGGATACTGAATTCCCTGTGACACGAACACTAACATGAAGGATAGAGGAACTTGCTTCTTTGTTTCACCGTTTTCTGGAGCAGTTCTGCGTTCGATCCAAAGCAATTCTGTCATTCTTTCTTTCGTACAGAAAAGAGGCTGTATAATCCATTTGCGGTGGTACTTGTTGTGTCAGGGGTATGTACGCATGTGAAGGTAAGGGCTTGGAACTTCAAAAACTCCCTCAACGGGCAAGCTATGAGACGACTCTTAACAACCAAACTAAAATACAACAACGAGCTGCTCGCCTCGATCCGGCGAACCTCCTCATCCAACATACGCTTGGGTTCGAAAACAAGGTCAAGCCGGAGAAAGGCCTGTGGACGCAGCGCACCTGGGTAGCAGTAGTTAACGGTGGGAAGCTGCCGTTGGATACGTATGCATGTCAAAGATATGGTAGATTGGGTTTTCTATCTGCCTGCTTGGCATGTTGGCGAGAGAGAGATAGATGGAGAGAGAGAGAGAGACGAGACCCGTGTGCAATAATAATACACTGTGTTTACCATCACCAAGGAGGTGAACCGACCAGCCCCCCGAGGCCACGGGGGGAGCATTCTGGTCCTAGGCCCTGCCTGATGTCAGGCGTGTCTACAGTTATCGATAACTCAGGCTGACCGACCAGGGTCAGTCAGGGTCAAAAAAGACGCCTGCTGCCGACATGACTGCCATAGATGCCGTTGCGATTCTGGATCCTGGATCAGGGCTCACAACCATGTCAGCCGGTATCGCGAGTAGGCTACAAGCTGCTTTTCCTGATGTGCAGGTCGTGGGAGGCATGCAAAACCCAGGGAAGCTGAAAGTCGCGGACGGCCGTGTGCTTGCGGTCACACAGAAAACATGCCCCGTGCAGATCGCTTTGCACACCAGCTGGGGGCTGGTGTCGGTGGACCCGCTCTCGTTTGCGGTCATGCCTGGCAATGATGAGGTGGTCATTCTTGGCAACCCGACGCTGAAGGCGTTGGGTATCGATGTTTACGAGAGCTTGGGGGCCTGTGCGCGTTCGCGCGCTAGCGTCGCGGGTGTGGAGACCGCGGCGTACAAACAATGCCGCCGAGTTACGCTGGCTGTCGATGCACTGCAGCAGCGCGAGGGTCCGGAGCAGGTCGAGCCGGATCCCGCGGTCGAGCGTTTGGTGGCGCGAGGCCCCGACATGGACATGAGCCCGGAGGAGGAAGCATCGGCGCGGTCTGCATCGTTGGATAGCGCTGTCTCTTCCGCTGCTGCCGCTGGCTTGGAGGAACCGCATGTAGGGCGCCTGCGAGGCATCATCAGCGAGCGCTGGAATGCGTTCCGCCGTGGTTTACGCCATGGTGACCCTCCCGCGAACGTCGAGCCTCTGCGGGTCACCCTTAAGCCCGGAGCGCGGCCGGTTAAAGCACGGCCGCGGGTGTACAACCCGATCAAGACCGCGTGGCTGGCGGGGTTGGGGTTGGTGTTCCTCAACATGCAGGCCGTGTGGGCCAGCGCCGCGATGGCGACTCCGAAAAAAGGGGGATACCGGCTGGTGAGTGACTTTCGTGCGGCAAACAAGCAAGTAGAGAAGGTGCCTGGTGTGATGCCGAACCCTGAAGCCAGTATAGCTCAGCTCAGTGCGGCCAAGTTCTATGGGAGCTTGGACCTCTTGCAATGGTATTGGCAGTGCCCGTTGGCTCCGGAGGCGCAGGAAATTTTCACGATTGCTACGCCGGGCGGCCTCTACACGCCCAAGAGGGTACCGCAAGGTATTTTGAACGCCACGTCGTATTTCCAGGCTACTCTTACGCGCATCTTGGACGGGCTGAATTGCTTCGTCTGGGTAGACGATGTCGTGTATTGGGGGATGGATAAAGACGACTTGCTTGACACCCTCGATCTGATTCTGGATCGTCTGGAGGGGGCTGGCCTTTACGTGGCCGCCCACAAGTGCACATTCTTTGAGACCAGCATAACTTGGTGCGGGAAGGTGTACTCGGAGGGTCAGGTCGAGCACGATCCTGAGCGGCTCAGCGGGTTGGCTACAATGCGGCGTCCTGAGACGGCTGGCGAGCTGATGCAGTTCCTGCAGGCGGTAAACTGGCTGCGCACGTCTCTACCGCGGATGGCGGAGGTTGTGTGGCCGCTTCGCGTGTTTCTGGAGCAGCATTTGGTCGGTGCCAAGAGCCGGACGAAGCGCGTGGCCGAGAATCGCGCCATCGCTGCGGATGCGTTGACGCCCGCGCTGGTCGAAGCGTGGACTGCTGCGCAAGACCTTGTTGCTCGCGCCGTTGCCCTGTCTCACCCTAGCCCAGGTTGCGCCGTCCTCATGTTCCCCGATGCATCCGATGAGCATTGGGGGAGCTTTCTCACACAAGTGCCCCAAGACCAGCTGGATCGTGGCGTTCCTGTGGAGGATATGGCTCATGAACCGATGGGATTTCTGAGCGGCACTTTCAAGGGCGCGCAGCAGCAGCGGTGGGCCACGGTGGACAAGGAAGGGTACGCGATTGTGAGTACGTTCAAGCGGTTGGAGTATTTGCTTTGGGATAGCGTGCACATTTTCACCGACCACCGTAATCTCGCGTACATCTTCGACCCGGAGGCCTGCGTGTCTGCCGTAGCGAAAACCACGGCTCAGCGCCTGGACCAGTGGAAAGCTGTCTTGGGCCAGTATGATTACACCATCAGGCACATTTCGGGTGAGCGCAATTGCTGGGGGGACCTTCTGTCGCGGTGGGTCTCTGTGCCGTCGGTGAGTGTTCGCGCTGCCGCGGTTTACGCCCCCAGCGAACCTGATGCTGCCATGCCATCGAAGCAAGTAGTACGTGATGCACAACAAGCGGCGCGGAGTAAGCTCGGCGCGCTTGCCGGGCCTGCCTCGTCATTTTCGACGGCGGTGGGGACGGCGACTCTGGATGCTGAGGGATTGTTTCGCGTGGGCATGAACGGGCGTGACGTGCTGTGGATTCCAGATCAGGCGAGTGCGTTGCAGGTGCGACTGATGGTCTGTGCACACATGAAAGAAGCCGGACATCGTGGCGCCGTCGCCACCTTGCAGCGCCTGTCCGAGTACTGTTGCTGGTTTCGGATGGAAGAGCATGTCACTGACTTCGTCAAGCAGTGCCTGCATTGCATGGACTCCAAGGCGGGAGAAAAAGTGCCTCGCCCGCTTGGAGAGACCGTCCATGGCACGCGCCCTGGCGAAGTTGTTCATTTTGACTACCTCTACGTGGGAGCGAGTGGCCCGCTGGGGGATGATGGCTTGGACGAGGAGGAAGGGTTCAAGTACATTTTGGTCATGATGGACGACATGTCAAACTGGGTTTGGCTGGAGCCCACCGGGGCATGCACTGCCTGCCTGACTGCGCAACATCTCCTGACATGGTGTAAGATCTTGGGTGTGCCGGAGGTTTGGGTGAGTGACACCGCTTCCCATTTCAAAAATCACATGATGGCTGCCCTTGAGACTGCACTCGGTGTTGACCGAAACTTTTCAGTCGCCAACTCTCCCTGGTCTAACGGTACGTGCGAGCGCATGATGCGTGAGGTGGTTCGGACGCTCAAGGCCATGATTCAGGAAGAGCGGGGGCGTACTCGTGACTGGGTTGATCTGGTACCGGCTGTGCAATGGGCGTTGAACACCGCTTTCCGCGAACGATACGGCTCGACGCCGTACCACGTCATGTTTGGTAGAGCGCCACGCACCGCGCTTTCAACTTTGGCGTCGTCCACAGGCGCCGAATGGAAGGTAGACGTCCTGGATGAGAAGTCTTTGCGGCTGAAGGTGCAGCACGTCGTCGAGGCCCAACGTCACCTGCACAAGGAAGTTCTCGACAAGGTCCAGGCGAGTCGGAGTAAGCACCGGGCGTCTGCGCGGGTTGGGAGCCTGCCTGACTTCGTGGTGGGGGACTACGTGTTGGTGGCGCGTTGTCGCCGGCGTGGTTCGACACCGAAACTTCTCATGACCTGGACGGGGCCGTGAAGGATTGTCGCCGCCGAGAGACTGCATGTGTACGGAGTCCAGAACATCGTGTCGGGGGAAGTTCGGGACGTCCATGTCGCGCGTTTGCGGTTCTACGCCGATGCCGCTCTCGAAATCACGGCCGAGTTGAAGGAGGTCTTTCAGCATGCTTTCACGCAGGGGGAGTTCGAGATGGCGGCGATCGTGGACATGTCGGTGGCGGAAGATGGCCCTGGGTTCGATGTAGAAGTAGAGTGGGTCGGTTTCGACAAGGAAGAGAACACCTGGGAAGAGTTGTCCAAGATGTGGGATGCCGCGCCGCAGTTCGTCAAATCCGAGCTGCGGCGGCTGGGTCTGCAAAAAAAGGTTCGGGCTCAGTTGAAGCAACAATACGGCATTGCCCTGTGACAGCATTGTTTGAGTTGAGTGAGGGCAATCTTGTTGAGCATTGATAGCATTTCTTCGCTGACTTCTTTCGCATTTGTGTTTCATTTGTTTGAGTTGAGTGAGGGCTATCTTGTCGAGCATTGATAGCATTTCTTCGCTGACTGTTTCATGTACATTCTTCAGCTTGCCGCGCATTTTTGTTGTGGCGTTCTCGTCTTTGCATGTGATTGAACTGCGTGGAGGCCGCCTTATGACAGGGTGTTGGTGGTATTTCTTCACGAGCTACGTACGTTTGTCATATTTCGCGACATTGGCTTGTTCGACGATCATGCCGATCGTTTCGCCATGTATGTTCTAAGGTATATCGAGATGTTTCAACTCAACCCTGGAAGCGCCTCGAAATAGTTTTCAGCGTTGCCTCTGGGTTGTTGTTTTTTCATCATTGTCCTTGCGTGTGGCAACTCTGCTCATTTCGCGTTGTTTGCGGCGCGTTGGTCATCCATCCATTGCGTAAGTTTCTCTGTACGCGTGTCTACAGGCCTTAGCCAATCTGGTGTGGTCGTCCGTCACGTACATGTTTGTCGTTTGTAGCGTCGAGTGTCCCTCATTGTTGACTGGGGGCATTCTGCGTTTTGCATGGGAGGTTAAACACTTGCGCTGCCTAAACGAATTGGTGTGGCATGATCTAGTCAGGCATGATATCGCCGTGTACGGGTGTTTATCATTCACAAACATACTGAAATATAGGATAGGGTTCACAAACAAGGTCACGCCCGAGAACGGCTTTGTCAGAAACGATCCCCTGACAGGATCGATGTCACGTCAAATGCACACACATATCACTGTACACAATGTACGGCTAAATGTACAGATACGGGGAAAAGACTGCTCAAACCTTGGAGAAACATGCATGCTGAATTTTAACACAATACTGAAATATAGGATAGAGTTCACAAACAATGTCACGCCCGAGAACAGCCTTGACAGAAACGATGTCTTGACAGAATCGATGTCACGTCAAATGCAGACACATATCACTGTACACAATGTACGGCAAAATGTACAGCTACGGGGAAAAGACTGCTCAAACCTTGGAAAAACCTGCATTATGGATTCCGTGTAACACAATACTGAAATATAGGATAGGGTTCACAAACAAGGTCACGCCCGAGAACAGCCTTGACAGAAACGATGCCCTGACAGGATCGATGTCACGTCAAATGCAGACACATATCACTGTACACAATGTACGGCAAAATGTACAGATACGGGGAAAAGACTGCTGAAACCTTGGAGAAACATGCATGCTGAATTTTAACACAATACTGAAATATTGGATAGAGTTCACAAACAATGTCACGCCCGAGAACAGCCTTGACAGAAACGATGCCCTGACAGAATCGATGTCACGTCAAATGCAGACACATATCACTGTACACAATGTACGGCAAAATGTACAGATACGGGGAAAAGACTGCTGAAACCTTGGAGAAACATGCATGCTGAATTCTTTTTTAACACAATACTGAAATATAGGATAGGGTTCACAAACAAGGTCACGCCCAAGAACAGCCTTGACAGAAACGATGCCCTGACAGGATCGATGTCACGTCAAATGCAGACACTTATCACTGTACACAGTGTACGGCAAAATATACAGCTACGGGGAAAAGACTGCTCAAACCTTGGAGAAACATGCATGCTGAATTCTTTTTTAACACAATACTGAAATATAGGATAGGGTTCACAAACAAGGTCACGCCCAAGAACAGCCTTGACAGAAACGATGCCTTGACAGGATCGATGTCACGTCAAATGCAGACACTTATCACTGTACACAGTGTACGGCAAAATATACAGCTACGGGGAAAAGACTGCTCAAACCTTGGAGAAACATGCATGCTGAATTCCCTTTTAACACAATACTGAAATATAGGATAGGGTTCACAAACAATGTCACGCCCGAGAACAGCCTTGACAGAAACGATGCCCTGACAGGATCGATGTCACGTCAAATGCAAACACACATCACTGTACATAATGTACGGCAAAATGTGCAGCTACGGGGAAAAGACTGCTCAAACCTTGGAGAAACATGCATGCTGAATTCCCTTTTAACACAATACTGAAATATAGGATAGGGTTCACAAACAATGTCACGCCCGAGAACAGCCTTGACAGAAACGATGCCCTGACAGGATCGATGTCACGTCAAACGCAGACACTTATTGCTGTACACAGTGTACGGCAAAATGTACAGATACGGGGAAAAGACTGCTCAAGCCTTGGAGAAACATGCATGCTGAATTCCCTTTTAACACAATACTGAAATATTGGATATGTAGGGTTCACAAAAAAGGTCACGCCCGAGAACAGCCTCGACACGAACGATGCCCTGACAGGATCGATGTCACGTCAAACGCAGACACTTATTGCTGTACACAGTGTACGGCAAAATGTACAGATACGGGGAAAAGACTGCTCAAGCCTTGGAGAAACATGCATGCTGAATTCCCTTTTAACACAATACTGAAATATTGGATATGTAGGGTTCACAAAAAAGGTCACGCCCGAGAACAGCCTCGACACGAACGATGCCCTGACAGGATCGATGTCACGTCAAATGCAAACACACATCACTGTACATAATGTACGGCAAAATGTGCAGCTACGGGGAAAAGACTGCTCAAACCTTGGAGAAACATGCATGCTGAATTCCCTTTTAACACAATACTGAAATATAGGATAGGGTTCACAAACAATGTCACGCCCGAGAACAGCCTTGACAGAAACGATGCCCTGACAGGATCGATGTCACGTCAAATGCAAACACACATCACTGTACATAATGTACGGCAAAATGTGCAGCTACGGGGAAAAGACTGCTCAAACCTTGGAGAAACATGCATGCTGAATTCCCTTTTAACACAATACTGAAATATAGGATAGGGTTCACAAACAATGTCACGCCCGAGAACAGCCTTGACAGAAACGATGCCCTGACGGAATCGATGTCACGTCAAATGCAGACACTATCACTGTACACAATGTACGGCAAAATGTGCAGATACGGGGAAAAGACTGCTCAAACCTTGGAGAAGCATGCATGCTGGGTTCCCTTCTAACACAATACTGAAATATAGGATAGGGTTCACAAACAAGGTCACGCCCGAGAACAGCCTTGACAGAAACGATGCCCTGACAGGATCGATGTCACGTCAAATGCAGACACACATCACTGTACATAATGTACGGCAAAATGTGCAGCTACGGGGAAAAGACTGCTCAAACCTTGGAGAAACATGCATGCTGGGTTCCCTTTTAACACAATACTGAAATATAGGATAGGGTTCACAAACAAGGTCACGCCCGAGAACAGCCTTGACAGAAACGATGCCCTGACGGGATCGATGTCACTTCAAATGCAGACACACATCACTGTACACAATGCACGGCTAAATGTGCAGCTACGGGGAAAAGACTGCTCAAACCTTGGAGAAACATGCATGCTGAATTCCCTTTCACACAATACTGAAATATTGGATAGGGTTCACAAACAATGTCACGCCCGAGAACAGCCTTGACAGAAACGATGCCCTGACGGGATCGATGTCACTTCAAATGCAGACACACATCACTGTACACAATGCACGGCTAAATGTGCAGCTACGGGGAAAAGACTGCTGAAACCTTGGAGAAACATGCATGCTGAATTCCCTTTCACACAATACTGAAATATTGGATAGGGTTCACAAACAATGTCACGCCCGAGAACAGCCTTGACAGAAACGATGCCCTGACGGAATCGATGTCACGTCAAATGCAGACACTATCACTGTACACAATGTACGGCAAAATGTACAGATACGGGGAAAAGACTGCTCAAACCTTGGAGAAACATGCATGCTGAATTCCCTTTTAACACAATACTGAAATATAGGATAGGGTTCACAAACAAGGTCACGCCCGAGAACAGACTTGACAGAAACCATCCCCTGACGGAATCGATGTCACGTCAAATGCAGACACTATCACTGTACACAATGTACGGCAAAATGTACAGATACGGGGAAAAGACTGCTCAAACCTTGGAGAAACATGCATGCTGGGTTCCCTTTTAACACAATACTGAAATATTGGATAGGGTTCACAAACAATGTCACGCCCGAGAACGGCCTTGACAGAAACGATGCCCTGACGGAATCGATGTCACGTCAAATGCAAACACTATCACTGTACACAATATACGGCAAAATGTACAGATACGGGGAAAAGACTGCTCAAACCTTGGAGAAACATGCATGCTG